CGTTAATGGGAATTGCCAGAGGCAAGGGGTTCACGATCGATCGATCGATTCGCAAGATCATCAGCTAGCCTGGACGCAACGCGTTATGGCAATCGAACTCCGCCATTAACCACAAATGACGTGCTTAGGCGGAGGTGATTTCCCGCTGATTCGATCTGACCGTCAATGCTCTGTTCCTTCGGACAATGATTCCGGCCCCTTGGGAGTACACGCGTAGGTTCATGCCCCCTTCTTCGTTCACCCTATTGATTTTCCATTCGCAAGAGGTTCGCTGTTCGAGGCGGCAAACGTCCGTGCGAGCCACTCCGCCGATTGACCGACATTCGATTATCAATCAACGCGTCTCCATCGATCGCCTCGTAACAATTAGCAAAACACCCTTGATACACCTCACGCTTCGAGTGGACCATCGGAATCTAGCGAAACTGGTCTTGGAATTTTTCTTCTTCACCTTTCATTTTATTATTTTATATATCATTCGTTTGATCGAAGAAAAAGCAACCCCCGAATATTATAACGTAAACAGGCGGTGTGATGAAAGGGAAAGACGACGCCGGTAATTAGTCGTGATGTTTGATTTGGACGTCGCGGAAGATTCGCGAGTCTGATTGGATGGCTTTCCAGTACGTCTCGCTTTTCGAAGGAAAGAACAGCCCGAGGCCTTTTCCTTTGGGATACGAGACGAGACGGAGGCTAGAGAAGATGTCGGTAGAACGCGACTTAACAACCGACGAAGTCGTCGAGGTCGGATGAGATGCAACGCGACGCAACGCGACTCGACGCGGTTACAGGCACCCGCGATGAGACAAGATGAGAAACGCCGGAATGAGATACGCTGGGATGATAAGGGTGTACAAAGCTGGCCCGCGAGGCTGTCTCTTCTGCTTGCAATAACAACACCGAACCCCTCTATTATCGGTCCAACCCCTTCTTTTTCCAATTTCAAATAATGTATTTTTTAATTCGACATCGTATAAGTAGAAAAGGAAGAAATTTGATACTAAGGTCGGAGAAATTCTTAGACTAAAAATATGGAAAGAGTTTCGGAAAGGATAGCTGGTATTCAAGAGTTGAAATCTCCGATTCTATTTTTCTATTCTCGAAACAGCCCTCAATTTTAAAAGAGAAAATTAAGAAATTGAATCACCGAAAGACTGAATCTACTACTATCTTTTAAACAAAGAATCTTATACGGTGATAATACAGAGGAGTGTTGGAAATTACATTTTTTTTACGTTGATAAATAAAAATGTTAAATAACTATGCTAATATATGGATGATATTTAACAGGATTCTTCAGAGGTTTTCCTAGCTCGCGGGTATTTACTTCGCCAGTCGCGAGGCGGATTTTCCGGGGGCGAGGATGAAGGCAGCGAAGAGGGTGGAAAAGCGAAAGGAAAGGAAGGCAGAGGGGGACGGGGTGAGGAAGAGGGTGCTGGATGTAAGACGAAGGAGGCGTGGCCTCGGCATTGATCCAGAACCCCCACTCCCGTGCTTAAAAGTACGGCCCTGGTTGCTCCGTACCGTACTCACCCCCGTGTCGACCTCCTGTAAGAAACCGGCAAGAAATGAATATTCATGAGCAACCGGCTTCGTCGTCTCTGCCTTCTTGATTCGACCCGGATCAACGGGGAAAAAACGGGATATTCCACGGGAAGATATGAGGACCTTTATTAAATTTCGTGACCAAACTTTGTCTAACAATCAGTTTAATCCTTGTTTCCAACACCGTTGTTTCTTCTTTATTATATCTGCATTATATTTGTAAAACATTATTTGAATAAAGTTCTTGTAATCTTGAAATTCTGTGTTGTTTATTTATTTGTTTCCTTGCACTAGCAAACAGTTGAGTATATTTTACGGTGAAGCTCCTTCTGTCGAGAATTGTGCGCGATCGATTAATCGAACTCTAAAATCACGATAAATTGGCACATTCTTAAGGAGGGTAGAGTTAGATTTAATTAACAGAGGCTAGAATTTGCGGAACAGTTTCCGCTGGAAATATCCAGCCTCGGATGTATTTAGATTAATTATAGCAATCCTATTCCTATTTACTGTCACAGGATATTGCTTTATCTAATTATCGGTGAGAAGCGAAAGGGAGGAAACGTAGATCTGTCGATGGATCGGTGGCAACGGGATAGAAAGTTTCACCCACCTCGTTTCACGGGTAACATTGAAATTCGACAAGTTTTCATAGGAAGCATTTCATATAAAAGAATTCCTTTCATTTTCAAGCATCGTACACTTGCGGATCTACCGACCCCCAGGCTCCTTATCGCGGGATTTAACGTTCCCTCGTCAAAACGGTCCCTCGTTTTCCAAGCTTTTCAGTCTCTCATTAAAAAGTACCTTTATCGCGCCGTTACAGAAAACCGCAAGGATCATTTTCAGAAATTTTGCAAAATTACTAGATCCTACGTGGAACGACAATTATAATTAACTCTGCGTACTTTCGACCCTCTTGCTGCGGCGTCCGTAGCGAGATAACTGTGAATCTATTATTAAATTCGACGATCAGAGAAAATATCTGTGCTTGCGGTTTAATTCGGCCTACCTTAAAATTGTCTTCGAGCAAAGGGTTGGATGCGTATGAAACCGTATTTTTTCGCGACAGCCACGGACTAAGGTGATCCCCGTTTCTAGATCGACCGCGGACGATGTTATTTTATCCAATTTCGGAGATGCTCGTGATAGACGAAGAGAGAAACGAGCGCGTCCAGAAGGAGAGGGTGAAAGAGGGTGGTACGCCGGTGGATTGGTTGCCGGCTACGACGTTCCCAGAGTACACTGGGAGTTTGTTCTAACTTGCAGTCGGTGCCAGTTCTCCTCAAACAGGATAGATTATATTCCACGTCTCTCCATTTCGTTCCCGCCTAGCTCGCGAATCGCTCGCGCGCACCGATTGCTCGTGTTTGTTCAATCTAACTCCACTTCGCCACCGCCATTTCGCTGATTGCGAAAAATTGCCACATGATGACTGCTTTCAGCCAAAGGCTTCCCGAAGACAACGCTCCCGGGAGACAGACGGCGAAAGTTCGAGGGAAATCCTGATCGCGATACGACCTTGCTTTCCAATTTAGAACGCGTCTCCGTTCGTCCCCTTTCACCTACTCCGCGTCTTGATCGCGGTAATTTCAATTGGCCGTAACGAGCGCGTTACCCCTGCTGATATATTTTTGGAGGGTGACACGGGAAGGGAGAAAGGGAGGATAGAGTCGCGCATACCTCTCCCCATCCCCGCGATTTAATTCACTTTGATCGCGCGGACCGAGTCGGCCGCGAGTGTATAACAGAAAGCTCGAATTCAGATCCGAAAGATAGGATTAACTGGGCTTCGCGGAATATATTGTTCGTGCCGTACTCTTCTCTCGTTGAATCGTTGAATCGTCGCTGTCCAAGATTTTTCTTCAGCCTGGATTGTGCTGAAAGATCGATGAAACTCGCAGGCTGGTTCATCCGTGTCAACTTGCAGCGAGGAAACACCGTTCAAATCGAATTATCGAAGATCGTGTCCGCGTGCTGTGGTCAAAGTAGTCTGCAACATCAAATTAAAATGTCAGCTCACAGGTTAATTACGGTCACTTTAAGGGCCCTTTGAACGCGACGACGTTAAAGGGCGACTGCACACAGGGTCCAGCCGGTGCTGTGATCGGAGACGCTTCGAAGGAGGGATATTAATATCGATGGGGGGATGCAGTTTTCCAACGATTCAGCTACAACATCTTTAAACTAAAACGTTAGCAGCATCGCGGACAAACTCATAAACTACATCTCTCGCGATCCTTTAAAATATTTAGAGGATCTAGCGGAGGAACGGGGAGGACAGAGGGGTGGCGACCGGCAGGCGGTGTAGGTGTAGCTGGCGGAGGAGAGACTCATCCAAGTTGGCAACTTTCGGTCGTATTAGCTTTTGTATATATATTACCTCATTTGCGAGAGGAAAGCTTATACTTCTACCCCCTGTAGACACTATATAGATATATGTGCACTCACCTACCGCCTCCCTTTACAATATACTCGTGCACGTGTTCCGGCTCCGCTGCAGCCTTGTCGCGACCGAGCCGGTTATCGTACCCCAGTCGATCGTCAAGAACATTTTTTTTTTTTCTTTCGAACTTAATATTTATTTGGAAAAACTCGACCGAAAGGGTAGTTTCGTGATCGATAACTCGTCTGTATAGAGACGGTAAACGATGGACGATAAAGGATTGATTGCAATGTTGCGAACGGGCTTTCAAAGAGTCGAAGAAGGGAAGAGGAGTTTCGAAGCGAGAGAGGGTAAGAGAAAAATCGCGAGACGGGAAGCAAACGAGGCGAGAGGAGCAACGAAGGGTATACGGGTGCATGGGTGCAAGTATTGGCCGGTTGTCAGATGGTAGGTAGTAGATAGAAGGTTGGTAGAAGGAAGGTACCTACGCGAAGGTTAGGTCGGAATATAGTTTAAGCTAGACGAATGGGCTGGTGGGTGGTTCTGGAGGCAGAAGAGTGAGCCGAGGCGGGTAGTTTTGCCTGGGTACCTCCACTCCACCTCGCCAACCTCCAGCCCCGCTCCTTCCCGTCACCCCTCTCGAGCCTTCACCCCCCTTTCAGTTACTACTCCACCACCTTCTCCACCTCCTCGACGACGCCATACCCTCGTTCATAATATCCTGCACGTCAGACTTTGAAAACTCCAACAATTTCCTCCTGCCGCCTGGTTGGGGAACCGAAAGAGGAGGAGGCCGGAGGAGGAAGGGGATGGCCGGGGCTCAGGGGGGTGGTTCTACCCGCTACGCGGAGATGGTTCCATGCTGCTGATGCCGGTGCTAGCTCGTCGTGGTGGTAGTGGCGGTAGTGGTGGCGAACCGACGGTGCGAGGGAGACGAGTTTCGAGTTTATATAAAGTTCGGGCCACATCAATAATTATAAGTAGAGAGCCGAGGCAAGATGGCGCGCCCGACTGGCAAACCCCCATCCCCCCGCGTGCCAACCGAGTCATTATTCAAACCATCTCTTACTTCCTCTTGTTTCCTCCTCTGTATCGTCCTTCGCCGCTTCTCCTTGCTGGCTCGGATGATCGACAATCGATCTCTCTCCGATCAACATCTGCCATCTTTTACGCAACGTATCACTAGCTTCCTTGATCCGTCGCGTACAATCCAAACGCGTGCCACCTGAAAACAAGTTGAATGGGTTAGTACATTGACCCTTTGCACCTTTTTCATAGTCCACCACGTCGGCTGTTCTCGATTCTGTTTTGGATTTTTATTCCATAACTGTATCTATCCGTTCGATTCATCCTTCTTCCAAACACCGTCTTCCTCTCGACTCTTGACCCTTGACCCTTCATCCGAACTCGTTTCAAGGGACATTGGCAAAGTTTCGTCTAACCGCAGGAGACCGAAGGTCACGACGGATCGCTTTCGGTATTTGCAATCGCAAATATTCCTCGAATTCGATCGCTTTCGCTCGACAAGGTCCATTCTCAAGAACCGTTCTCACGATCGTTTACAAATTCAACCAACAGCAAACGACTGTACAAAGACAAGTAATACTCGTTCGACTTGCTCAAAGATTCAACGAAGCATAGAATTATTAAGGGGACTAAAAACACGCGAGGGAAGGCGATAGGAGAACGCTCGGTTTCCTGCAAAGATGACGGTTGATTAATGTTGGGGGTAGTTTCTTACTCACCCCCAGCGGTTCGGGATATTCGGTTACAATGGCGGCCGCCACCTTAGATAACGCCGAGAATTAATATCGCGCGTACACCGAGTCAGCTACAGTTCCACCCTGTTCAATTTATAATTTTAAAGATCTCTCTCGGTTGCTGCCTCAACATGACCGGGGTAGTAAATATCGAACAATTATTCTACTAGCAATCCCTGCCAGATACTGAAGTATGAAAACTGCATAATTCTTTTATAAAGGATCGAAAGTTTTTCACAAAGGTCCCAATAAACGAGACAGCGGGAAAGCTCGATTTGCCGAAGGAAAAGCGAATTTTTCAACCGGTGGATCGGTTTCCTCGAGTTGGTCGTTACTTCCGGCGCCAAAGGGCGTCCGTCTACAACCGGCCACGTAGATACACAGCGGTACGTTGGCCAGGGGATCGGTTCGAATCTGTCCCTAACGTAGTTTCCAGTTGAAACGCAGATTTGGTGTTACCCTAACTCGGCTGGGGAAACTCAGAAATCTAATGCCAGGAGGACACACACAGGCCGCGCCAACCAGCCAGCCAGCCCGACGTTAACTTTTAATGCACGGGATTAGTAGCGCGGGTGCACGCGGGGCCGCTGGCCAAACTTTGCGCTAATTTGTTCGTCTATTAATCTCGTACTTCCAACAACCGGTCGTGAACTAGTGGCGGAAAGAACGAGTATAGTTCAGCCACACCACGTTTTTCGTTTACACCCTCTGCGCGTTATTTATGCCTTTTTATTCCTTGCATCTTGCAACGAACGACGCGTGCTGCATTGCGAATGAAAATATAAAACAACTCCCTCAATTGAATTTCGAAAGAAAGAGAAGGTATTTCAAATGAAAAAAAAAGAATACTGGAAAGGAAAAGTAGAAAAGCAATCAGGGATAATCGTGCGGGTGAGCGAGGAATCTGGGTCGAACGGTTCGTGCGGCGACCGGACAGTGTAAAAAGAGAAGAAAATTGGGGTATCGGGGGTTGCAGAAGCGACGAGTGGAAAAAAAGAGGAAAAAAGGTGGTTCGTGTGTAACCGGCGCCGCAATGGGATGGGACAGAGGAAAGAGGGTCTGCGCTCAATTTACCGGCCGCGGAAAAAAGGAACGCGGGAAAAGACGGGAAACAGCTTAACGGGGTTAAAACCAGCCCTTCGGGAGCTACGAGGTAGGAGGTAAAAAAGCTAAGCGGCGTTTTATAGACCCAACAAGCAGCCCGCGTACACCGACCCGAGTGGCAACCCCGTTTTTACACCCTCGTTGGAAATTAGAGGCTTTTTGTGCTAAATATACCCCCCTCCTCTTTATCCTCTTCTTCTTTTACTTCCACCCCGTCTCTTTTTCTCTTACGCTTCCGGCCCGGCTCCACCAGTGAATCTCATATTAATTTCAATTCCACGCGAATCTGACCGTGCCATAAATTACTGAATGACACTCTCTTTAATCGTTTTCCAGTAAAAGACCGGCTTTACAGGCGATAACGAGGGTTGTTGTTTTTCATTCCCTTTGAATGAAACTTAATTGAAATATAGCTGGTTAAAAGAAAAAGATGTTGGAAATATGTTGAATGTGTTAAACACGAAGCGAAAAGAGAGGAAGAAAAGGAAGTTTGAGGAGAATCTCGTACGAAGGTCTAAGTGAAAATAAAACGCTCGAGCTAGCGGGTAAGAGGGTGTGAAACGAGGGTGGCGTTTCTCTCACATAAATTAGCCCGCAGGAGTAAAATGCAAAACATTCGTTCAAACCGCAGTTTAACACGGACGAGATTGGTCACGTTGTGGCTTTGTCTGTCCGAATTTGCTAGGGGGTGACCTCGTCCCTTTCCCCTCTCGTACTTGATCTTCCCTCTGACCGCGATCTCCCAGATTTCCCCATTTCACATTCTATGTTTTTATATTTTCTCATAACAAAAATCTTCCACCTATCGTTAAATTTTTTACCAAAACAAAAATTCTGTCTTGAAAAATCTTTCGATTCGAACGAAGAAAATGCAACCAAACTGCAATCAGTTGCATCAAGACCCGGAGTTTGCAAAAGCGAAACGATAGAGGAAACGGTGACCATAGTCGAGGCAACATCCGGTCCAAGAAGTCGTAAACGGAACGGAGCCAAAGGGGTGTCCTTAACGGGGTCATTTTTAGCCGTGCGTTATCAGCGATTACGGGGGACGCAAATACCCAGGGGTTCCATCGAAGATGCAGCTAGCTGAAAATTCATGGGTCGCACGAAGGAATCGAATATCGCCGGTGCATCGGAACCGATGCATCTCTGCCTCGTTATTCCCCCGGGGGTGGAATCGGAACGGCGAAGGTTGCTACTCGAAGGTGAAACGTTTCTCTAGGCATTGGAACGGGCTATATGGGGGTGTGTGTGGGCCCAGATAGCGGCCGATTCTAGGAACGACTACGAGAGGTTATAGGTACCGACAGAAAGGTGCAGTAGAAGAGAAGGGACGAGGCATCGACGAGGAAGAGAGGCGAGAAGGGTATAGAAGAGCGAAGAGAACGATGGAGAAGGAGGAAGGTGGTATAGCTGAAGTGGCTCTCTCTTACTCTCTCTTTCTGCTCTTCTCTCCTCTCCTCTCTGCCGCTTCTGGCTTTCGAGGCAATATAACTCGAAAATGGTGGCTGGCTTGCGAGTGCCGTTATCATTTCTTAGCCCGGTATCAGCCCGCCCTCCCGGTTATTACTGCACCCCCGGGGCTACGCCATGGACTCTTAGATAAGCCACCCACCGCGAAGGTGTATTGTCTGTTTCACCTACCCGCTCGCCTTTCTATACAATCCTCCTTCTCCTTTACTCGTGCCCTTCTTGCTTACCGTTCCCTATGCCACCATCTCGCTCTTTCTACGCCTCTCCTCTTACTATCCTCCCCCGCTTACCAGCCACTTCCGACACTCGGGAGATGTATAGAATTGTTTGAGAATCGCCCGAAGCGCCGCGAGATTACTTGGGAAAACGGATATGTCGTTCGTTGCTGCCCGCCGATATCATCGATAAGGATGTCCTTTAACGATTCTTTGTCTGTATACCGGGAGATCCGGCGGGAAACCCTTCGACGTCTTATTCGCATCGAGCTGATAATCCACCGAAGAATACTCGATATCGCGCGTTGGAATTCCTGTCGCGTGACTGAGCGCGATAAGGCGATTAGCAGAATTCATTTCCACGATCTTTCTTAGAAGAATTATTTATCCTAAGAGCGCGGAATCTTCGTTATATTTTAGAATAAATAAATTTTTCAAAGTACGAGTTTTAATTAGAGACGTAGCTTTGGTCTTGACCAAAGCTCACCTCGGGATGAGGTGTGAAAATAGCTTTCGCTGGGATGGAATGTGTCAGCGTTGAGCGATCAGAGATGGAGATTCACCTGGGACAGGAAATAAATTCGCAGAAGGAGGCGGGTATCCGCGAGCGGCTCGACGATGGCGAAGAAAGGATTTCCATGATGGTTCGAGAGCGAAAGCGCGGGATGGCTTCGAGAGTGCGAACGATTCCAAATGAGGTCGGGCCGACTGACTGATGACGTCATTACTGTCAGGCTTAATGAAAATTTCCGGAAAGTTACCGCTCGCCTCGACTGCTGACGCCATGTTACCTTCGCCAGGGCACAGGAGGCAGCAGTCGTGAGGGGGGAGGGGGGCGTGGGAGAACGGGGGGCGCAGAAGAAGGGGTGGGCTGGCGCCCGCGAGCGAACGAGAAATTTTACGAGAATTTCCGAGACTAATTTCTCCGGCGCTTTGCGCTCGAGGCAGGCGGGCGTCGTTAATTTCTGACGTTAATTGCTAAACCTGAAGTTTCTAGAAATTTCCTGGGCGCCCCTAACCTCGCCTCCACCCAGTCCGTCTCTATCCTCTCCGAAACGTTTCATCCTCTCTCTTTCGCCGCTACTTCTATCCGTGTACGTGTACCGATCCTCCGGACTCGGTATCCTCTTTCTACCGACCCGTTTCGCCCGCTTTTCTGATATGAAGATTAAGCATCATTTATTCAGACGGAAGCCTGGCCCGCGTACTTCTTCACGCGGCCTCCGAGACACACGGTCATTTTGCGTTCTTCGCTGTGTTGCTTTTGTCCTTCGTGAAAAATTCACGAGGGGATTCCAACAGGGTATTTTCTGTTGAAATTAACTAGGAAGACCGTTCGATAACTCTTTAATTTTCACAACCTTTTTGTCATTTATTTCAACGAAAATGATCTTCTTTAACGGAGAGAAGAAATCGTTCGTTGCGGGAAAGGTCTCGCGGGAAACCACAACAAAACCTCTAGTTCTCTCCTTGGAACGTCGAAAGGGGTCAACGTAGGACGGCGACGGAAAGGGTTACGTCCCTTGATCGGACTCGTGTGCCAGCACGGGAACGGCGTGAGAAGGAGGCGCGGGGTTGTCGAATTGGTCGCGATAAAAGATGGAAAGAGGAAGCGAGAGGGGAATTGTTCCTTGCGCCCTTGCCTAGTTGTTTAGTTTTCCGCCATCTTTGTT